ATAAATTTCAGCCGCAAGAGTGAGCTTTAGGTACAGTCAACAGCTCGTCTTTCCTCTTCCTTCATGGAATATCCAAATAATGCCTTAGTTCTGTTCAAGCTAATATTTCTTATCTATCCTCTATTCTGATAGGGTATTTAATCTTTTTGCTTCTTTCCTGAAGCAATTCTCAGTTTGCCATGCATATACTGCGAATGGCTCCAATTCCCTAGATATGTTGACAATATCATGCTCAACCTGCCAAATTTCTTAGTCTGTCTATTAAATGTTTGTAATTTTTACAAACAGACCCCTATCAACTTAAACGAAATAAGGTAAATACACCTCATAAATAAGCTATTTGCTCCCAAGAGATAATCCTGAACCCAAAATGCTCATGACAACATGAATTCTAGCCACATCTGTGCCAGAATAATTATATTTCCGTGATAATCAAAAGCTACTTGTAGCCATGAGCCATAAACATATTAAAGCTAAGGTATGAAGAGCAAGATGGTGTGGTCTTTTGTATGGCCGCAGTTTCCTTCTTCAATAAAAATATTTAATTTTTCAAACACATGGTAGAGCTAGGATACAGACTGAATGGAAAAAACAATTTATCACTAAATAAGACCAGTTGTTTCTGTAATACATTCATAACACAGACTTTTTATTTCCAATGAGCTTTCAGGGAATAATGCAACCTCCTCTCGGAGTACTAGCTTAGGAACCAAAAGTCATGCTAAAGAGATGACTTCAATATTTGATTTTAATTGAACAATGAATAATTTGCTAATGATTTTCTTACTAATGATGTTCAGTTTCGCCCGGGTATCTTCTGATGTCTTCGGTGGATTTATCGTTTGCTGCTGATATCACGCATCGCTGCATAACAGCCGACTTTACTACTTCTATCCAGCTTTCTTGAAATGCATAGTAACGTGTGAGCCTTTAGAGTGTTTGGTGGATATACAAAATCTCTTCATATCAGCCATCATACTTTGACCTGCTAGCCCTCGAGATCTCACAGCCTCTAATAATTAAAATATGTACTGTCTATTCCCCGCCCCCTCTTTTAACATTGGCAGGTCACAAGTTTCCGGGACCGGTGGAGCTCATCCATCATCATGCCGTCCACCTGGACGGCTTTTTGACCCTGGCCCGAGTCCCTCTAAACAGAGACCCTGTAGAATCTCCACTCGTCTTGCAGGGCGTGACTGCTGCACAACTGGAAGAACGCCTTCGGCTCAAAGCGGTCGAGATGGGTCTCAAGGTAAGTCAAAAGCAAAGTAAATTAGGGATAATCCAGGTCTATATAGACTTTATTACATCACAAAATGCACCTCTTATTTGGCCTAGTTGTAGTTGTCTGATTTTCCTGATTTACGAGGATTCCAAGTCTTTACGACGGCTAAAGTGATTCTGTAAGTAAACAAAGTCAATGGGGCAATAATACCATCTTGAGCACATGGTCGGTCGCTGCTAAGGGGCGTTTCGAGGGCTAATTTTTCCGAGATTCCCAATAACTATCTATTGCGATTGTGTTTTACAATTTGCAGTAATTCTTGAAGAAGAGCATAATCAACTTAAATTGCATAATTCGAGTTAAATGCGGATAGAAGTTGTTTGAACTTGTTTTCGCAACTTGGTCATATTGGTAGGAAGACTTAGAGGAACGCACCTAG